TTCATCTCAATGATTGAAACCCCTGCCAGGCAAATAATAATAATAATAATAATCCAGCTTCCTTCCTGTGGTTACTATTTCCATTCCCTTATCTTCCCACATTTGTCCTTAGGTATTTTTTGCCCATTTGATTTTGATTTATTGACCATTTCATCACTCATAGTGAACACACCTTACTAGGGTTGCTGGGCCCTATATACCTGTCTACTTGTAGAATGAAAATTGGGCCACAACGGTGAGCTCCTTTCTAGATCTGAAAGGTGGTCAAGGGCCATAATCTCAGGTTCCTTCATTGTCTTTCAGACCAGTAAACCCTGTCTTTTGTAAAAACATCATTTAGGGTTATTATTCTGATGCTATATTTTGGACTTTTAAGCATGATCCCTTTCAGAGCAGTTAGTAGTAGTAGCCAGACAACACCTAGTATCTGTTTTTAGAGTTCTGGAAATTGATGTTTACATGTTTCATTAAACCTTTGGACAAACTTGTCCCAATCATCTTATATCCTCATCAATCTTCTTTCTTCTGCACATGGAGAGAAAAATAGCTGCACCTTAGAATCAGGAGCTTCAAAAATCCCAAAAGCTACTCACCATAATAAGCTTAATAAGCTACAGAAGATTGTCTTTGTGAACTATGTTATACCAATTGACCATGGCAGCTCCAAAACCATTGTCTTGAGCTTCCAGGCCCAACAACTCATTGCCTTAAGATTTGCTTATAATATGTAAGAAGTTTTCATCATTTTGCCTGCTGCATGCTCCACCATTTCACAGGTTTGTTGGCAGAAAAGGTAAATATCCATGTACAAATAACCTATTTCAAACTTATGTATTTTTGGTATATATAAATATATGTATCTATAGCCCACTCTTCCTCTCATACTCATTCAGCCTGTGTCTCTATGCATAGAACATTGTTGCTCCAAAATTTTGTGTATATATACATGTCAGTGTTTTCTTCTATCCCCTATAGCCCTGCATATCTCCCTGTGTCTTAAACCTCTCTTTATTCTTCTGTCAACATCCCTATTCTTGTATATTAACCTTCCTCTTCTTGTATATTGCCATCTCCATGATCTGAGTTAACATTTTTAATTTTAATTACTTAAACAAATAATTATTGTGTTGTTTTATAGAGTCAATTCTGACACATAGCGATATTGCATAGTATTTTTCATGGCCAGCTGGTTGTTTTGAACTGCTGACCTTGTACTTTACAGTCCAGTGCTGATCCTACAGCACCACACCAAGATTTTGTGAATGTTTTTCTGGTACCTTAAGTTGTTGAATTTCTTCGAATTGATTTCTTAAGAAGAATGGATGTGACTCTTAATTTTCTTCTTATTCACCTCTTGTGGCAGGTAAAATTTATTTGGTATGATTTTTATATCCAATGTATTCTTAATTCCCACTAAGTGATTAGGCAGGGCCATGAAAAAATTGTACACAGTACTTTAAGACTGGGATTGGTGAGTTTTGCCATCCAACACAGTTTAAAAGGAGTCATATCAGAAACAAGGACCATCAAGAATGATAGTATGGGTGGAGCATGAGATCCCTACCTAGAAAAAGGACAGTGGAATGGAAAGACAGAGCAAATACAGGCTCTAGAGCCATAGTGTGAGGCAGAGGTCAAGAGGCTACATGACTGAGAGTCCAAAGACAAGAGTGCCTACAGTATGGCAGTCAAGAGCCATTACTGATTGGAGAATTGCTACATCCTGAGTTGGTTTGTATCCTTAATTGTACCATATTCACTTCTCTAATAAATCCCATATAATGAGTATTGTTATGAATTTTGTGTGTTTATAAGGGAAATCATTTTTCTGTGAACAAATACTTTACTTAGGGGAGGATTTCTTGAGTGTAAAACAAGAAATAAGCAAAGGTAAATTGTCTGAATTAGGCAGATAACTATTTCTACCAGTACAAGAAAGGTATACTGTAAGTCAGATTCATTTTTATAGGTATGGAGGTGATAATAATGGGGATCTCAAAGGAGAATCAAGAGCTTGCTGAGGAGACTTCCATTCTGTTCTTCAAAGGTGAAAGGGGATGGAGTGTTCAGAGTAGAAGGTACATTAGAGCCAATACTAGAGGAAATGAACCTAAGGTGTTTTCTAATGCTGAACTTTCTTCATGGATGTCCACAGAACTCTTGCCAAGATGAGCTATCTGAGACCCATGCTCATATAGAAAGTTTCTAGATTTCACACAAGAACACTAAAATCTCTGAGGAGACATATGGAAGATGTTCATTTTTAACAACTCATTTTGAGACTGTGATGCATTCAAGTGTGGTTTTTATGATTGCCATATTAGAAAACCATGGGAGAACATATTTAATATATGGAATATGAAAGGTCTTCCATCAATGTCATTACTTAAAATATCATATACAAATTAGTATATAAAACAGTAGTTCTTATAGACTAACAATATAGTAATAAAATATACATACATAGCCAGGTTGACAAATAAAGCATTATTATCTCTGAGAAATCCACTTGAACAACCACTATTCACAAAAATTTCTTCATTTCTAGTGATAATTTCTATTTGAATTCTTTATGTTTTATTTCCTTGATGTCTTTTATTAGTTGAATCTCATTAAATTACCATGATTTAAAATTATTTGCACTACAAACACTGACATATTTATGGAATCTAACTGCATTACTTTGTCACCCCACTTTACCAAGGTGGTGGTTGTTATTACTAAGTGCTGTCAAGTCAGATCCGACTCATAGTGACCCTATTTAGGGTTTTTGGGGAGTGGCTGGTGACAATGAACCACATACCTTGCAATCCAGTGCATTAACCCACACCACCACACCAGGACTCCAATACCAAGGTCGGCTTTAACACTAGAGGTAGACTCATTAACAAACTGCATTATGCATATGATACAACCTTGTTTATTGAAAGTGAAAAGTACTTGAAATATTTACTGATGAAGATCAAAGATGACAACCTTCAATATGGATTGCACCACAATGTAAAGAAAATAAAATCCTCACAAGAGGACCAATAAATAATATCTTGATAAAGGAAGAAAAGACTGAAGCTTTCAAAGAGTTCATTTTGCTTAGATCCACATTCAATATTCATGGAAG